TAGGCCCCAGGAGTAATCCCGTCTGGAATCCTCGGAATGAAATCCGGCTCCAATGTAATCCCTCGCTTGTGCGAAAGATCCGTCGTCCTGGTTAAGACCTGCCAATATTGCAAAGATTGGATCTTCCACAAACTCTGCCATGTACCGAAGCGTAATTCCCGTCTGATTGCGGATGGCTTCGATGTTCGGTGGCGCAGGGCCCGTAATATGGGCGTCCCGGAGCATCTGCTGTAGAGGTTCAGGCGTAGCCTGAAGTATGCGATAGCGCTCTTCTGTTGTTACATACGATCGTTTCTCTTCAAATACAGCAGCATGCCCCACTGTTACGTCACGATCCCCATCGGTGGGGCCCCTGTACCTCGGCGGACCCTCTTTTATCGATATTGCGGTACTTCGACTCGTCCAAGGATAAAGATATCGATGCGGCGTTCCGCAGCACCTCGCGAGCTTCCACGCGAAGTACCTCCGACATCACGCAGAGCTGCTTGCGCCTGCGTTTCCGGGTTCTCTTCTCCGTCGGGTCGTCCGTGGAGAACTGCCTCCGCTGCGCGCGAGCGCACTTGCGCAGAGAAGACGTCTCAGAGAGCATCGCCCAAGCATCCCTCCATTCCGCGGCCGACGGCGCATTCCCCCGCAGAAGCGCAGCGTCTGCCGCCGCCATGCCCCATCTTCTCTGATGAAGGAACATCTTCGCACGCCAGAGGCAATGACTTAGGCGAGAATTCTGCGCAGAATCCTTCGACCTGCTTCACTCCCGCTGCGTGTCGATGCGCTGCTGACCTCTGATGCTGTTCCACTTGGAATCTCGCGCGGAAGCCTGTCATAGGGCGGACCTTGAAAGAAGCAAACTTGGAGAACCTGCCGTCAGAACTTGTCCGCCCTGCGGCCGCAGCCTTCGCGCGCACTCGGCAACCCAGCCCCCGCTGGCCGCGATGCTCGCCTGCAGCCAACCACGACGAACCATTCGACAAGAGAGATGGCGCCGTGTACGTTTTGCGCCGTCGGTGAACATCGCATCTGATACAGAACGCCTTGTTGCAAGGAGAATGCTCGGCGAAGTGCTGCTCATCCGAATCGGTTACTGTCCGACTCGTTCTCGCCTAGGTCACGCCGTCGCGAGACTGAACCGCCCTGCGTTTTCTCCGCGCCGCGCCAGAGCCAGCGCCAGCCTTGCCAGATGCGCCAGAGGCAACACCACCCCTTCCACGACGATGCGCCAGAGGCAGCGCCGCCCTCGCCACAGGCAGATATTTCTGCTTGGCGCTGGACGCTCCGCCGCTGCGGGTTTGTCCACAATGCCCCCGCGCCGGCAACGACTGCCCCGCACTCGCTGCTGCCGGTTTTTCTTTTAGATAACGCCCGAATTGAAAAGAAAGCGGCGCGCGCATCTCCCGGCACAGCGTCCCCGACCGCGGCGCGCCCCAGATGCGCGACGCTCGGCCTGTGCCGAGCCGGCTATTGGGCAACAGCGAGCTCGACGAAGCGCGACGATGGCGACGACGGCGGCGGCGCTGACCAGGGACAAATTCTACGCGACCGTGGAGAAAAATAAACACAACCAGGAGAAAACCAAACGAGCCAGGGAAAAACTAAACACGACCAGGAGAAAACTAAACACTACCAGGGGGAAACTAAACACTACCAGTGAAAAAAACTAAGGAAGTCCATAGGAGAACGAGAGAAAATCCTAGGACAACTAAACAAGACCGCAGGAAAACTAGACAACACCCAAACTAGGAAAACACGATAAGACCCTAGGAAAGCCAGACAAGGCCCTAGGAAAACAAGACCATACCCTAGTACAATTAAAGAAGACCGTCGGAAAACTAGACAAGACCGTAGGACAAATAGACAAGACCCGAGGGAAAACACGCAAGACCCTATGAAAACCAGACCAGGCCCTAAGAAAACTAAACAATACCCAACGAAAACTAAACAAGACCCCAAGAAAACGAGACGAGCCCCTCGGAAACTACACCTAAACAAAACCATAGGGCAACTAGACAAGACCCTGGGACAACTAAACAAGACCGTCGGACATTTAAACAAAACGGATGGAAAACTACACAAGACCCTAGGACAAATGCACAAAACTCAATGGAAACTAAACAGGACCAACAAAACTAAACGAGACCCTCGGAAAAACTAAACATGACCCTAGCAAAAATAAACGGTACCATAGAAACAAAAAAACATAATATTAATAAACGCAAAAAAAATAAACAAGGCCCTAGCAAAACTAAACGAGACCCTCGGACAACGAAACAGGACCCTACCAAATCTAAACGAGACCGCAGGAAAACTGAACAGGACCCTACCAAAACTAAACGAGACCCTAGGACAACTAAACATGACCTTACAAAAAATGAAGGAGGCCCTAGGACAACTAAACAGGACCCTGGCAAAACTAAACGAGACCCTAGGACAACTAAACAGGACCTTACAAAAACTAAACGAGACCCTGGGAAAACTAAACAGGACCCTACCAAAACTAAACGAGACCATCGGACAACTAAACAGGGCCCTACCCAAACTACACGAGACCCAAGGAAAACTGAGCAGGACCCTACCAAAACTAAACGAGACCCTAAGGACAACGAAACAGGACCCTACCACAACGAACGCCTCTTGGTTCAAAAGCAACGCTCCCGTTCGGTCTCCACAATCCTCGCCCTCCTCCTTTCTCCACCTCTTCCCTCTTTCTCCGGCTCCCATTTGGTGTCTTTGGCCACGTGCAACTGGCCAGCCTGGCCGCTTATGCGGCGCCCCTCCCGCAGCAGGGCGGGCGCCAACCAATGGCACCAAAAAGGCTCAAAAGGAGCCCAGCGGGAAAACGTGCTTGCACGACCCAGCTAGTCTCGAAGCAAGGCGATCCGGCGAATCTTGCTCGTCGCCCCCCAGCGGCCCCCGTCGGGCCAACAGCGGGTCTGCGTCATCGTCTTCATGTCCGCGCACCACCTGCGGGTGCCACCCTTGTCAGTGTAGTAGACGATGGGCATAGGGTCAGCAGGGCCTGGGGGGGCCGCGTAGTAGTCATGCATCGCATCATTTAATTTCTGGCAAATGTCTGAGTCCATGTCGATCCAGGCGAGCTTTCTGGTGACGCTCCTCTGTCGCCACTGCCAGATCGCCGAGTCGCCACCGTCTGCGCCAGAGGCAGCACCACCTTCTGCGCCAGAGGCAGCGTCTTCCACCGCCTTCTTCTGCTCCTTCGGCCCCCCCTCCTCCTGCTCGTCACCTTCGGCGCCAGAGGCAGCGCCACCTTCTGCGCCAGAGGCGGCGTCTTCCACTGCCTGCTCCTGCTCCTTCGGCTCCTCCACCTGCTGCTGCGGCATCCTGCTGCTGCGGCATTCTGCTCGTTGTTGATGATGGGCTCCTCCTTCGGCCCCTTGATCAAAGACGCCGAGTACTGCATTGCAGTACTCTGCGTCTTGAAGGGCCATAGCTTGGAAAAGCGTCGGGAAGGAGTCGCGAAAGGCGTCGGGAAGGGCTTGATATCAAATTGCTACGGATGGTGCCCTTCGGCGTTTTTCAGGCCACCTGAACTTCGCACTTGCACTACGCTGGCATCCGACGCTAGCGTTGCCAGCAGAGGAACGAGTACCAACAGCACCTTATGGACAGTCCGGGGACCACGGGGCACTTTGGAAATTGAAGGCAGATCGCAGCATTCCTCGAAATCGGGAAGTCGGGGAGTCGGTCGGGGAGTCGGGAGTCGGGGAGTCTGAGAGTCGGAGTCGGGGAGTCGTCGGGAAGTCGTCGGAGAGGCGGCGAGTCGTCGGGGACGATATCACTTTTTCCGAAACGAGACTTCCGCGCGTGGCGGCCAAAAGTCAGAGTCAAACCAGGGCGAGGAAGACCGGCCCTGGCCAGGAAGCATGGGGCGCCGTGCAGCAGCTGGTGGCAGCTGCGTCAAATGCACACGTCGTGGCACGCCAGAGGCAGTGTGTCGCCTACTCTTCGTCATCCTCGCCCTCGTCCTCCTCCTCGCCCCCGCCGTCCTCGTCGACCAGCGGCATCAGCAGACGTTTCGCCTCAATCATGGTTCCGCTGAAATACTTGCTAGCTTTCTCGACGAAGTCGGCGTCGCCGCCCAATTGATGCGCGTGCCCCTCCTCGTGGCCCGCCTTGTGCATCACGCACCTGTCCACGACGGAGTCGAGCCAGTCCCGACGGTTATCGTTGCAAGCGACGCCTTCGTACTCCACTGCGCCAGCGGCAGCAACAGCCAAGGCGCCAGAGCCTGGAGCGAAGTCCACGATGTGGGTCACGTCGTGGTGCCCCATGATCGTCTGCCACAGGCTGATGGGCTTCACCTCGTTATACGAGAACGGGTGGCCCTTCGAATCGATGTCTGCTACAGGCGCGGCATCTTCGAGTTGGCGCCGTCAACGCTAGCGCAAGATGCACCTCCCAGGGTGCTCGCCTTGGTCTCGTAGCTCAGGCGAGGGAGCTCGGAAAGACGCCGCACAGTGGCGCCATTGTACGTCGTGTCTGCGGTCGAGAACTCGCCGCGCGCGTTGAACTCCGAAGGGTGCACCACTTTCCGCGGGCCCTTGACTGGCAGCGAGAAGATCGCCGTCTCCCTGTTGTTCTTGGTGTAGCTGTGCGCCCTGGCCGGGGACCGCGGATCCTCCTTCTTGTTTGGCTGCTCGTACACGATCCAGCACTCAACGAACGCGCGGGGGCCTCCTGACTCCAACTTGGCCTCGAGGGTCTCAATGACCCGGCGATTCGCGCGGCTCCTGCCGTCGAGGAAGATGAGGATGTCATCCTTCTGCCTCTTCTGCAAGAAGAACTCGATGACTCGCTTGAACTTCGCCTCGTCGCACGCCAACTGCTCGCACAGCCTCGCCTTGACGCCTTGCTTGACGACGTTGGGCGGGAAGAGCTCCGCTGAGAGGACGAACGCGCGAACGTCGGTCTTCTTCCTCGCGAAGCGGTGCCCGTGGCTGAGCGCATCCCACACGCTCTGCATCTGCCCCGCTGAACACTCCGCGTCAGAGGCAGCGCCGACAGATGGCAAACTGACGAACTTCACTGTTCTCGAGAAAAAGCTTGAGCTGCTTCTGGAGTTTGGCGAGCCCTTCCTGTTGTTCTTCCCCGAGCTCGGACACCCCCAACAAGCCGAGATTTGCATCCAGCTCGGGGTCGGCGGGGATCGGCCCGCCCGTGCAGGCGGCCACGAAAGCGCGGTACTTGGCACCCACCTCCTGGCTGGTCTCGGCGAGGTACGTGTGCCAGGCGAACGCAGGCGCGCTGTTCTGAATCTCCTGCTTGGCAAGCTCGACGATTTCTTCGTCGAAAGCGCCCGACCACAGAGGCCGCGCGACGTCGATCATCGCCTTCGACTTGCAATCCACGGCGTTCCGATACTCAGCCACGGGGAGCGCGAACAATATCTCCATCCCGTCGGCGCCGCCGCCTGAGTCGGACACGCGATGCGAAGCCACGAGCCCATCCGCGCCAGAGGCAGCGAACCGCTGGAGGATGCGGAGAGGTGTTTTGAACGCGGCCATTTTGCGCCCATGTTCCTTGCGCATGAGGGAAGCCTCGTGGAAAATGTACTCGACGAGCTCCTTTTTCTTGAAAAGCGCGCGGAGCATCCCTGGCGATTTACAATCGCGCCCGCAGACCCGGCTCACGGCCAGTTTCTCGCCCTTCGGGGCGTCGCCCGCCAGGCGGGCCGCGCGGAAAGTGTTCAGGATGAAAACGAACAGTTCCCTGGCCTCGTCGTCAGAGACAGCCCTTTTGGAGCATGCGAAGCCGATCTTCATGAGAAGCGTAGGCTCGCGAAGCTCAGCGAGAAAGCCGAAGCGCAGGCGCTGTCGAGGACGAAAGTGTGCAAACCTGTCAGCGCCGCGGCAGTTGCGGCGGTGCACGGTTTCCCTCTGAACTGGAGGCCGTAGGCCTTCAGCGCAGCCTCCAGCTTCGCCACTGCTTCCGATTTGGCGAGACTGGCGCGCACGTTTGTCAAGCGGCACGCTTTTTCTGCGAACCGCCAGAAGCTATCTGCGCCGGAGGCAGCACTCGCAGTGAACATCTTCTCTCCAAAACTCAGGGCCGCCAAGTGGGTCGCGTCCGCATCGGGCAGCGCGCGCATCCTGATGGGGACGGACAACGCGGATTGAACAGATGCCACACGCGGTCCTCGTTGGACTCCTTGAGCGCCTCGCTCATGGCAGAATACCACGTGATCACCACCGCGCGGCCCGCGATCATGGCCAGAGGCTCTGTCAAGCATGCTCCAGGCTTGCCAGGCTCAAGGCGCTGGGCGACCTGAGCGTCGACCACCGAGGCGGGGGGAGGCGCGTCGAAGGTCGGGCGCCGCGAGGGCGCGCGCCTGGAAGAGGGGAGGAACGTCTCCTCCGACCAGATGCTCATGGCACCCTCGAGCTGACTTACGGTGACGTCGTCGATGTCCGCGCAAACCGGGTCCAACATCCACACCGCCCCCGCTGCCTCGTACTCCTTGGTGCGGAAGAAGCTCGCAACCAGGTTGTCGAAGTCCATGACCTCGCGAAACGAAGCGAGGTTAGCGCCAGAGGCAGCATCAGTGATGGCCAACGGCGCAATCAAAGGACACTGGGCGGGCACCGCGAAGGAAACCTCGCGCTTGCGGTGCTCCAGGAAGATGAGCAAAGCCTGGTCGACGTAGCCCTTCACTTGGCGCGCCCAGTCCTTGACAGCACCTTGCTGCGTCGACGCGTTCTCCATCTCGAGGAGCTGATTGATGCACAGCGGGGCAGGCGGCGCGCCAAAGGCGACGGCTGGCGGAGCGCCAGAGCCAGCGGCGGGCGACGCGCCAGAGGCAGCGGCCGGCGAGGCCGCAGCGGCTGGTGACGCGCCAGAGGCAGCGGCTGGAGAGTAGGAAGGCACCAACTATACACCAACACCGATCCTGGCCAGGATCACCCTGGGCCCCGGATCGGTGTATACGCCCTCCTGCCTTGGGCAAGAAGGCATATACACCGATCATGGGCCCAGGGTGATCCTGGGCCAGGATCGGTGTTGGCGTATAGTTGGTGCCCTCCGAGAGAGGCCGCAGCGGCTGGCGAGGCCGCCGCCGCCTTCTTCGCAGGCGACGTGGTCGCCAAGTCAGCTGCCCTCTTGCCAATGGTGCTTCGGGAAGAGGGCGAAAGGCAAACTACTCGCGCTGAGAGCCGACACCGCTGATGATGATGATGATGATGATCAGCGCCATCATGGAGACGCGCGAGAAGCTGAAAACGCACACCAACGAACGCCTACTTTTCCTAGGGTCTCGTTTAGTTGTCCTAGGGTCCTGTTTAGTGTTCCTGCGGTCTCGTTTAGTTTTGGTAGAGTCCTGTTTAGTTGTCCTAGGGTCTCGCTTGGTTTTGCGAGTGTCCTATTAGGTTTTCCGAGGGTCCCGTTTAGTTTTGGTGGGGTACTGCTTACTTTTCCGAGGGTCTCGATTAGTTTTGGTAAGGGGGTATTTCTAGTTTTCATAGGGTCTAGTTTCGTTTTGGTAGGGTCATGTTTAGTTTTCCTATGGTCTCGTTTAGTTGTGCTAGGGGCCTGACAAATTTTCCTAGGGTCTCGTATAGTTTCGGCGGGGTCATGTTAAGTATTCCAAGGGTCTCGTTTAATTTTGCGAGGGCCTGGTTTAGTTGTCCTAAGGTCTCGTTTAGTTTTGCTAGGGTCCTGTTTAATTGTCCGAAGGTCCCGTTTAATGTTGCTGGTCCTGTTTAATGTTTCTAGGGTCTAGTTTAGTTGTGGTAAGGTCTTGTTTAGTTTTCCTTCAGTCTCGCTTAGTTTTCCCAAGGTCCTGTTTAATTGTCCTAGGGTTTCGTTTAGATGTGGCGAGGTCCTGGTTCGTATTCCTGGGGTCTCGTTTAGTTTTGCTAGGGTCATGTTTAATTGTCCGAGGGCCTCGTGTAGTTTTACTAGGGTCAGGTTTATGTTTCTTGGGTCTCGTTTAGTTTTGCTAGGGTCACGTTTAGTTTTCCGCGGGTCTCGTTGGGTTTCGCCACGGTCCTGTTGAGTTTGCCGAGGGTCCCCTTTAGTTTTGGTAGGGTCCTGTTTAGTTGTCTGTAAGGTCTCGTTTAGTTTTGCTGGGGTCCTGTTAAATTTTCCTTGGGTCTCGTTTAGTTTTCCTATGGTCTTGTTAAGTTTTCCCACGGTCTAGTTTAGGTTTCCTAGGGTCCTGTCTAATTTTCCGAAAGTCTCGTTTAGTTTTGCTAGGGTCATGTTTAGTTGTCCGAAGGTCTCGTTTAGTTGTGCCACGGTCCTGCTTAGTTGTCCTAGGGTCTCCTTTAGGTCTGCTAGGGTACTGTTTATTTGTCCTAGGGTCTCGTTAGTTTTGGTAGGGTCATGTTTCATTTTCCAAGGGTCTCGTTTAGTTGTGCTAAGGTTTTGTTTCGTTGTCCTAGGGTCTCGTTTAGTGGTGGCAAGGTCCTGTTTAGTTGTCCTAGGGTCTCGTTCAGTTTTGCTGGGGTCCTGCTTATTTTCCCAGTGGTCTCGTTTAGTGTTGATAGGGTCATGTTTAATTGTCCGAGGGTCTCGTGTAGTTTTACTAAGGTCAGGTTTATGTTTCTTGGGTCTCGTTTAGATGTGGTAGGGTCATGTTTAATTTTCCGAGGGTCTCGTTTAGTTTTGCTAGGGTCCTGTTTGGTTTTCCTATGGTAATGTTTGTTAGTGGGATCCTGTTTAGTTTTCCTAGGGTATCTTTTCGTTTTGCTAGGATCCTGTTAAATGTTCCCGGGGCCCCGTTTAATGCTACCACGGTCATGTTTAGTTGTCCTAAGGCCTTGTTTAGTTATGGTAGGGTCCTGTTTAGTTTTCCTATGGTATCGTGTAATTGTGCTAGGGTCCTGTTTAGTTGTCCTAGGGTCTCGTTTCGTTTTGCTAGGGTCCTGTTTAGTTGTCCTAGGGTCTCGTTTAGTTTTGCTGGGGTCCTGTTTCGTTTTCCCAGGGTCTCGTTGAGTTTTTCTAAGGCCCTGTTTAGTTTGCCTAGGGTCTCGCTTAGTTTTGGCAAGGTCTTGTTTAGTTGTCCTAGGCCCTCGTTTTTTTTGTTTTTTCTGATGGGGTCCTGTTTAGTTGTCCGAGGGTCTCGTTTAGTTTTGTTTGGGTCCCGGTTAGTTTTCCGAGGGTCTCGTTTAAAGTTGGTAGGGTCCCGTTTAATTGTCGCGTGGTCTTGTTTAATTGTGGCAGGGTCCTGTTTAGTTTTCCTAGGAACTCGTTTAGTTCTGGTGGGGTCCTGTTTAGTTGTCATAGGGGCTCGTTTAGTTCTGGCAGGGTCCTGTTTCGTTTTCCCAGGGTCTCGTTTATTTTTCCTACGGCCCCGCGTAGTTTTTTCTAAGGTCTCGTTTAGTTTTGGTAGGGTCCTTTTTAGTTGTCCTATGGTCTCGTTTAGTTTTGCTAGGGTTATGTTTAGCTTTCCTACGGTATCGTTTCGTTTTGATAGGGTCCTGGTTAGTTTTCCTATGGTCTCGTTTAATTTTGGTAGGGTCTGGTTTGGTTTTCTTATGGTCTCGTTTAGTTTTGGTAAGGTCCTGTTTAGTTGTCCCATAGTCTCGTTTAGTTTTGGTCGGGTACTGTTTATTTTTCCAGGGTCTCGTTTCGTTTTGCTAGGGTCCTGTTTAGTTGTTTTACGGTCTCGTTTAGTTTTGGCAAGGTCCTGTTTCGTGTTCGCAAGGTCTCTTGTAGTTTTGGTAGGGTCCTGTTTAGTTTTCCTAAAATCGCGTTTAGTTGCCCTAGGGCCCCGTCTAGAATTGGAAGGGTCGTGTTTAGTTTTGGTAGGGTCGTGTTTAATTTTCCTAGGGTGCTGTGTAAGGGGGTTCGTTTAGTTTTGGCAGGGTCTCGTTTAATGTTGGTCAGATCCTGTGCACTTGTCCTATGGTCCTGTTTGATTTTCCGAGGGTCTCGTTTAGTTCTGCTAGGGTCCTGCTTCGTTTTCCTAAGGTCTCGTTTAATGTTGCGAGGGTCCTGTTTAGTTGTCCGAGGGTCTCGTGTAGTTTGCTAGGGTCCCGGTTAGTTTTCCGAGGGTCTCGTTTAGTTTTGGTAGGGTCCTGTTTAGTTGTCCCAGGGTCTCGTTTAGTTTTGCTGGGGTCCTGTTTAGTTTTCCCAGGGTCTCGTTTAGTTGTGGTAGGGTCCTGTTTAGTTGTCCTCGTGTCTTGTTTAGTTGTCCTAGGGTCTTGTATAATTGTCCTAGGGTCTCGTTAAGTTTTGGCGGGCTCCTGTTTAGTTTTCCTAAGGTCTCGTTTAGTTTTGGTGGGGTGCTGTTTAGTTGTCCTAGAGTCTCGTTTGGTTTTCGTGGGGTCCTGTTTAGTGTTCCTAGGGTCTCGTTTAGTTTTGCCAGGGTCCTGTGTACTTTTCCGAGGGTCTCGCTTACTTTTGGCAAGGTCCTGTTTAGTTGTCCTAGGGTCTCAACTAGAGTTGGCATGGTCCTGCTTAGTTTTCCTAGGGTCTCGTTTAGTTTTGCTAGGGGAGGCCCTGGATTGAGATGATGTAGGTGGTCGTCATGACGATGGCCATGATGCCGGTGGTCATGATGTCAGGAGTCACGATGACGATGGTCATGATGTCGGTGGTCATGACGTCGCCGATTGTGCTGATGATGTGGGTGGTCACGATGGCGCCTACTGCGGTGGCGGCGATGACGACGACGTCTTTTTCCGCTCGCAAGTGTCGCGGCGCGAGCTGCCGCGACGCCGCCTTGGCCCCGGAAGGCGCGCCAGAGGCAGCGGCGCGCCAGAGGCAGTGACTTGGCCACGCCAGAGGCCTCGGCAACTAGGCTGAGGCCAGCAGGGACGGCGAGGCTGGCGCCGGCTGCTTTGCGCCAGCGGATGAAGGGGTGAATCCCTTCAGAGCAACCTTTCTTCCAAGCCACCGCGGACCCACCAATGCAACCATCAAACGAGTTGAAACAAGTGCCACACTCCACGGCAAATCGGGTCGCCGCAGGTCGGCTCGAAACGACGCCACAGGTCGGTTCGACGCCGCGGGTCGGCATGCATACGCACCACGGCATCATAATGAGGCCGCCGTCATCGTGCAAATGCCCACGGTGGCCTCAATCGGAGTCGGACTCATGCGCGGTCGCCGTCTTCAGAAGACGGCCGTCTCATCCACCATGGCCTTAATTGGCCTCCTCATCCACCATTGCCTCAATCGGAGTCGGACTCCAAAGCGGTCGACGTCGCCCCCCAAACCTCCTCGCACGTGTATTCCACCGTGTACTTGTCGTCCAGCGGGGCCCTCGTCTTGGTGCCAGCCGAGTACTTGTTGGTGCACGTCGACGTCAGGCCCTGGAAGATATCGTCAAGGCCGTCGGGGATCACCTCACCCTCCTTGAAAGTATGCACAATGCACTTCCTGCGCTTCTCGTAGACGACCTTCGTCAGCTTACGCCGAGGCCGATTCCGACCCCCTCCCTCATCAGACTTTGCCGTTGCCATTGGCAGCTCAGTCTTTGGCGTCTCCCCAATGCGCCGCTGAAAATCCCTCGCCGCCGTCGGCGTGCGGTGGCGCGCTGTATGCGGCGGCAAAACTCAGGCCACGCGGCATGCTGTCCTGGAGGTCCTCCTGGGTGGCACCACCATATCCACGCCATGAGGCTTCATGCGCAGGGCCTTCGGCGTCGCTCAAGCTGTCCTCCACCACCGTCACCATTGCATCTGCGGGCGGCGGCGTCTCTTGGGGCCTGCGCGCAACCTGTCCGACGCTGTCCTCGGCAAGGGGTAGTAGCCGAAACCGCTGTTCACCGACTGCGGCGGTGGCGATGGCGGCGGTGGATGCGGAGGAGTCCTGGGCTGCGCAGACATGGCCACGCGTGGAAGAGTTCACCGTGTAGAAATCAGCATGTATGAAGGAGCCTGAGTTTTGAACCACAATGGCGAATGATTTCAGGCGGGGCAGGGCACGAAGGGTGGGAAGCTATTGGATGGGGGGAGCGGGCGGATATGGGGCAGAGGCTGTAAAGTTCCACCATGCTTGTTCCACCGTGTTGTCCGACCATACGTGTTTCCACTATTATTTCTCCATTTGTCCACAACAACGCCTGTGCTAACACAGATCAAGAAATACAGCCCCAATGTTCGAACTGTTCGCTGTGCCACTGGCCCCAGCGCCCCTGGCGTCGAGCATCGACGATCCCGCTTCCTCAGGCAGCCTACTGCTTCTTCTGCTCTGCGCCCTTGCCGCCGACAGCTTTCTTCGACTCGTCGGTCGCCGCCATGATGACCTTCGTCACCTCGTCGAGGAACTTCGTCAGCGGGGCCCAAGGGTTACCGTAAGCCTGCATCATCTCCTTGAAGCTGTCGAACACCTCCGCGTCGATAGTCATGACACTGGCCCTGAAGCCCGCGACGAGGTTGTCGCCGACGCTGCGCTCCAGCACAAATGACCCCATAGGGATGTGCACGAACGATCCCTGTGGGACAGTTGCCCTCCAGATCGTCGGCTTGACCATGTTCAGCTGCTCCTCCACCTGGATCCCACGGATGAGATCGGTCAGCCACTCGAAGAGGTCATCCTTCTCTCCGCGCATCGTTCGTGCACATCCCTATGGTGTCATTTGTGCTGGAGCGCAGCGTCGGCGACATCCTCGTCGCGGGCTTCAGAGCCAGCGTCATGACTATCGACGCGGAGGTGCTCGACAACTTCAAGGAGATGATGCAGGCTTGCGGTAAGCCTGGGGCCCCGCTGACGAAGTTCCTCGACGAAGTGATCATGGCAGCCGAGGGGTTGCAGGACAGGCTGAACACCTGGTGTCAAGCATCCTGCAACGAGGTTGCAGGCGCGGTGGATCGCTTCGACAAGAAGCAGGCCAACCAGAAGCAGCAGCAGCAGAAGAAGGCCAAGGCGGACGAGGGATCCAGGGAGAAGAAGGCAGAAGGGGCCAAGGCGAGAGCGGCGCTCATCATGGAATCCAAGGCCATGCCCACGCTTCTGTTCGACGCGACCAACGCCATCATCAAGCCAGTGAACACGTACGACGACGAGGTTGCCTACAAGAAAGCTCTGTCGGAGAACGCGGTCAAAGCCACTGACCTGATCCTTTCATCGTCAAGGCGTCCACGACGTTGTCGGACCTGAGCGGCGAGCGCAGCGTCAGGGCAGCGATGGGCGCGTTTCGCATCCAGCTCCCAAGGTCGGTGATGTTCAAGACGGAGAAGCGCGGATACGGGCCATGTCACGCCGATGAGGCGGCCGACATGAGGGCAGCGCTGGCTGCGTTCACCCCTGGCCTCGTCGAGGTCCCCCAGAGCATGGACAACGCGCTGCTGGGCAAGACGTTCAAGCAGCTCCGCACGCAGTACCCGCGCGCCGACGCGCTGGGCCCTGGGCCAACCGAAGGGTGGAATCAAGCGGAGCGGGCAGGCCTTCTGGTTCGGCGACCGAAACCAGCGCCCCACCATCCCGCCCAACCTGATTCACCCCTTCGGTAAGCCCATCCGCTGGCGCCCCTTGATTCACCCCTTCGTTTAATTTTGCGAGGGTCCTGTTTAGTTGTCCGAGGGTCTCGTTTAATTGTGCTGGGGTCCTCTTTAGTTTTCCTACGGTCTCGTTTAGTTTTGGTATGGTCCTGTTTAGTTGTCCTGGGGTCTTGTCTAATTTTCCTGGAGTCCTGTTTAGTTTTCCTTGGGTCTTGTTTAGTTGTCCTATGGCCTTGTCTAGTTTACCTAGGGTCTTGTTTAGTTTTGCTAGGGTTCTGTTTAGTTTTCCTAGGGTCTCGTCTAGTTTTCCTCAGCAGCATCGTCAGCGTCGTCCTCACCATCATCGTCATTTCCTATGGCCTTATATGTATTTCACCGTCAGCATCGTCATCACCATCATCACGATCATCATCGCCATCATCGTCATCATCTTCATTTTCGCCATCATGCCTTCGGCAGGCCGGGGTAGAGCATGCTCGCCCCCCCCCCCCTTGGCGCCGTCCAGGACGACCCAGCAGTGGGAAATTAAACGCGACCCAGGAGAAAACTAAACACGACCATGGTCGGTGGTGATAATGGCGACTACTACAGCACGACGAACGCGACCATGGTCGGTGGTCGATGAGGGCGGCGGGAGCGAAGCTGAGGATTGAGAGGATGTCGGTGGTCGTGCTGACGATGGTCATGATGCCGGTGGTCATGATGTCAGGGGTCATGATGACGATGGTCATGCTGTCGGTGGTCATGATGTCGCTGATTGTGCTGATGATGTGGGTGGTCATGATGGCGCCGACTACGATGGCGGCGGTGACGACGACGTGTTTTTCCGCTCGCAGCTGCCGCGACGCCGCCTTGGCCTCAGAAGGCGCCAGAGGCAGCCGCACGCCAGAGGCAGTGACTCGGCCACGCCAGAGGCCGAAGGCAAGGCCTAGGTACGGCCAGGAACGAGCGGCCATCAGTGCGAGCAGCAGCTGAGCCCCAGCGCGCAATGCAAAAATAATGGAGGGCACCCTGTCGCCTTAGCAAGAGCAAGGACTCAATCAGTCACTCACCCGACACCACAGAGAAAAAAGCCTGGACCGCAGCCCACTTACTCAACAGCTGGGCCCTCAACAGCTAGGGTCTCGTTTAGTTTTGGTAGGGTCATGTTTAAATGTCCGCGGGTCTTGTTAGGGTCCTGTTTAATTGTCCTAGGATCTCGATTAATTTTTGATAAAGTCCGGATTAGTGTTCCTAGGGTCTCGCTTAGTTGTGGTAGGGTCCTGTTTAGTTTTCCTATGGTCTCGTCTAGTTTTGCTGAGGTACTGTTTAGTTGTCCTAGGGTCTCGTTTAGTTTTGGTAGGGTCCTGTATAATTGTCCTAGGGTCTCGTGTAGTTTTGGTATGGTCCCGTTTAATTGTCCTAGGGACTCGTTGAGTTTTGGTGGGGTCCTGCTTATTGTCCCCAGGGTCTCACTTAGGTTTGCTAGGGTCCTGTTTAGTCGTCCTGAGGTTTTGTTTAGTTTTGGTAGGGTCATGTTTAGTTTTCGCAAAGTATCGTTTACTTGTTGGGAGGGTCCTGTTTATTTGTCCGAGGGTCTCGTTTAGTTTTGGTAGGGTCGCGTTTACTTTTCTTAGGGTATCGTTCAGTGTTGCTAGGGTCATGTTTTCCTAGGGTCTCGTTTAGTTTTGGCAGGATCTTGTCTAGTTGTCCTAGGGTCTCGTTTAGTTTTGCGAGGGTCCTGTTCAGTTGTCCTAGGGTCTCGTTTAGTTGTGGTATGCTCATGTTCAGTGTTCCTAGTGTCTTGTTTAGTTGTGGTAGGGTCCTGTGTATTTTCCTAGGGTCTCGTTTATTTGTTGCAGAGTTCCTGTTTAGTTTTCCGATGGCCTCGTTTAATTTTGCTATGGTCCTGCTTAGTTTTCGCAAGGTCTCGTCTATTTTTGGTAGGGTCCTGTTTCGTTTTCCTGGGGTCCGGTTTAATGGTGCCATGATCCTGTTTAGTTTTCGTAAGGTCTCGTTTAGTGTTGGTCGGGTCTTTCTTATTTGTTCCGAAGGTTTCGATTAGTTTTGATAAGGTCCTGATTAGTGTTCCTAGGGTCTCGTTTAGTTTTGGTAGGGTCCTGTTTAGTTTTCCTATGGTCTCGTTTAGTTTTGCTAGGGTCCTGTTTAGTTGTCCTAGGGTCTCGTTTAGTTTTGGCAATGTCCAGTTTAATGTTCCGAGGGTTTCGTCTAGTGTTGGCAAGGTCCTGTTTAGTTGTCCTAAGGTCTCGTTTAGTTGTACCTGGGTCCTGGTTGGTTTTTTCTAGGGTCTCGTTTAGTTGTTGGTAGGGTCCTGCTTCGTTTTCCTAAGGTATCGTTTAATTTTGGTAGGGTCCTGTTTATTTCCTAGGGCCTCGTTAATTGTTGCTGGGGTCCTGTATAGTTTTCCTAGGGTCTCGTTTAGTTGTGCTATGTTCCTGTTTAGTTTTCGTAAGGTCTCGTTTATTTTTAGTAGGGTCCTGTTTAGTGTTCCTGGGGTCTCGTTTACTTTTTGGGAGGGTCATGTTTATTTGTTCCGAGGGTCTCGCTTATGTTTGCTAGGGTCCTGTTTAGTTGTCCTAGGGTCTCGCTTAGGTTTGCTAAGATCATGTTTTCCTAGGTTCTCGCTGAATTTTGGTAGGGTCCTGTTTAGTTGTCCTAGGGTCTCGTTTAGTATTGGCAAGCTACTGTTTAGTTTCCCTAAGGTCTCCCTTAATTTTGGTAGGGTCCTGTTTAGTTGTCCTAGGGTCTCGTGTACTTTTGCTAGGGTCCTGTTTAGTTGTCATTGGGTTTTGTTTGGTTTTGGTAGGGTCATGTTTAGTTGTCCTAGGGTCTCGTTTAAATTGGTAGGGTCCTGTTTAGTTTTCCTGGGGTCTCGTTTAGTTTTCCTAGGGTCTTGTCTAGTTTACCTAAGGTCTTGTTTAGTTCTGCTAGGGTCCTGTTTACTTTTCCTAGGGTCTCTTCTAGTTTTCCTCAGCATCGTCAGCGTCGTCCTTACCATCATCGTCATTTCCTAAGGTCTTATATGTATGTCAGCGTCAGCATCGTCATCACCATCATCACGATCATCATCGCCATCATCTTCATTTTCGCCATCATGCCTTCGGCAGGCCGGGGTAGAGCATTGGCGCCGTACTAAACACGACCCAGGAGAGAACTAAACACGACCAAATTCGGTGGTGATGATGGCGACTACTACAGCACGACGAACACGACCATGGTCGGTGGTCGATGAGGGCGGCGGGAGCGAAGCTGAGGATTGAGAGGATGTCGGTGGTCATGATGACGATGGTCATGATGTCGGTGGTCATGATGTCGGGGGTCATGATGACGATGGTCATGGTGTCGGTGGTCATGATGTCGCTGATTGTGCTGACGATGCGGGTGGTCATGATGGCGCCTACTACGATGGCGGCGATGACGACGACGTCTTTTTTTCGGCTCGCAAGTGTCGCGGCGCGAGCTGCCGCGACGCCGCCTTGGCCTCAGAAGGCGCGCCAGAGGCAGCGGCACGCGAGAGGCAGTGACTCGGCCACGCCAGAGGCCTAGGCAAGGCCTAGGTTCGGCCAGGAACGAGCAGCCATCAGCGCGAGCAGCAGCTGAGCCCCAGCGCGCAGTGGAAAAGGCGCGGTGGGCACACTATCGCCTTAGCAAGAGCAAAGACTGAATCAGTCACTCACCCGCGACCACAAAGAAAAAGGCCTGGACCGCCGCTCACTCACTGAACAGCTGGGCCCTCAATCGCTCTCTCCCGCCAGAGGCAGGGACTCCCATCACTCGTGAGGTAACATCGTCAGCATCCTTTCCGGCATCCTCAGCGCCGACCTCGTCAGCATCCCTTCCAGTGCGATCTCGCGCTCGTCCTGGACCTCGGCCAAAGGCGGCGCCTCCCGCCAGCGCCTGGTTGCTAGGGAGACTGAGTCGTACCAAACTGCGAATTCAAAAAGATCGCAGGCTTCCCCATCTCGAGCCACGCGCTTCATACCAGATGACAGCCCCTCCAAGCTAAGAGAAATGCCATGGTAGGGACCAAGGAGCTTGGACCATCCAAGCGGCCGCGCCTTCTCAGGGACCAAAAGGCATATGTCGAAACCGTCGGCGAGGACTGCGTCGCACACGTCTAGAGGGTTGGGAGTCAGCTGCACCTGGCCGGTCCACCGAGGGGCGACGATCGCAGCACCAAACTGCGAGTCTTCGAAGAGAACGAGCATTTGCAATTCCACTTCGCAGGTAGCGTTCAATGGGTCGATGAAAGCGTCCTTGCCAGAAATGGGAAGGACGGCGATTACCTTCCCTGCGAGAAGTGAGGTTCGAAAAGGCAACATTCGAATACCGTTCGCCGCTAGTGCTCCAGCAGAAGCCAACTCCAAAGCAACAACAACGTCGGTTCGGCGGGGGGAGTTCGCCGCGGTCGCCGGAATCACCGTTGCCGTCTTGAGCCAGGCCCCGCCGCGCAGGCCGAGCGCGCACGAAGCGTTGGAACAGGCTTCCCACGCCCTGCGCCACAGGCGCAAGCTGCCTGCCAGGTTCGCCCTCCAAGGGCGCGCCACCGCGAACGCCGCCGCGGCCGCCCCGTCCGCGCCGAGGGCCTCGCGCGCACTCCTGCGCGCGGCGCAGATGCGCAGGGCGCCCATCGCGGACAGCTCATCCAGCCACGCAGCGAGGAAGGCCTGCATCGCGGGAGCGGCCGGCCCCGCGCGCACGGCCCGCGGCGTCTCGGTCGAGGGGGGGGCGCGCCAGAGGCAGCGGCTGAGGCTCAGAGTCTTCGCCCGGGCTGGGAGGCAGCGGCTGAGGCTCAGAGGCTCGCTCGGGCCGATGAGGCTGCGATGACGCGCGGGGCCTTCCTATGGCGCCATCTTGGGGAGTCTGGGAGTCAGGGAGTCGGGGGGTCGGGGAGTCGGCGAGCGGAGTC